AGCCTCACAATCCCTGCTACACCTGAGCCCATCGCTGCAGCCACTGTGTCAATCCATCTTGTTGAGGGCCTTCCCCTTTTTCATTGACCCTCCACTTTACCAAGCATGACATCCTTCACCAGAGAATGGTCCCTTCTAACATGACCAAAGTAGATGGGACGAAGTCTGGCCATTCTCGCTTCCAGGGAGCATTCCGGCTGCTCTTCTTCCAGGACAGATTTGTTAGTTCTTTCAGCGGTCCACAGTACCTTCAGTATTCTTCACCAGCACAACTCAAAAGCATCAACTCTTCTTCAGTCTTCCCCATAAAGGTTACAATCTAGAAAATCCTATGGGGATATTCTGCTCCATCATGAGGGGTCACTATGAGTTGGAATGGGCAGCATCCAACAAGAGGGGCCTCAGACACACCTGTGAAGAGCAGACACACACCCCCAGCTGCTTTCTGCCTCTGCTCTGGTCTACTGCCTTCAAGGCACTTACTACAAGAGGCAGTTCTTGTGTTCGTTTTTTATCTGTGGGTTCATTACCTGTGCCGTCAGTGGAAGCCCCATGAGTGTGCGCCACCTGTCAGAAGGCCCCCATGGGGACACGGCTGTGAATGGCTGGCCAAGTCGCTGTCCTCTGGAGCACATGGCCAAGGGGAGGAATCAGCCATGTGTCTGCACAGCCGTGAGGAAGGCTGGGAATGAAACAAGGCCCTCCTTCCTCATGAACCAAGTTCACCTACACGGATGCTTAGAAGGATCATCCCATTAGCCAGTGAGGACAGGAAGTAATACACTCTCTCCTCACCTATCAACATGGTTAGGTTCCAAAGACCAGGCCATTATGTGAAAACCGGTGTTATGTGAAAATGGAGGATGACCACATCAGGTCACATCATTACCTAAGTGCCTAACCACTCAGACTCATGACCCAGCCAAGGTGACACATAACCGTGTTACCTCAAATCTTGGCCTCCGTTACTGCCAGACATACATTATTGTATATAACACAAAATATAGTCAGATAGTAGATTTTTGACTACTCCTGTAAATATGCATTGTTGGATAAACGAGACGGTGGGTAAGTGACAAAGCGTACAAGGAAGGGGAGGAAAGCAATTGTCTTCAGGCGCCCCTTTCTCTAGTCTTGGACAGAAACCTTGCCCGGAAGCCCCCAACCAGTTTCCTCATTGGCTTGAGAAGGCCACATGACCCCCTCCTGCCCAATCCCTGCCAAACAGGGCTGGAATTGTCGTGTTGTGTGTTAGACCCACCCTGGTTCATCTTCATCTGGGCACGATACGATGCTCCTAACTTGAGGGTTCTATAAGCAAGGAAGTCTCTGGGTGGCACAGTTGGTGGTTCAAACCCACCCAGGGGCCACCTCACAAGACAGCCTAGTGATCTGCTTCCAAAGCAGAAAACTGCAGGGAGCAGTTCTCTGCACACGTGGGGTCGCTAAGAGTTGGAATTGACTCAAGGGCAGCTAACAATATGGGAAGGAGGGAAGATGGTTTGGGGACAAGCTCTGGAGGAACAGAAATGGCGTGCCGGACTAGTGGGACCTGCCCCACACGTGCCTGCCAGGAACATGAGATGGTTCAGGGGCTGGTAACGCCTGCACACTAGGCGACTTCCAAAGCTCTCGAAACCTTGGGCACGGGTGCAAGGGCTGCGGGAGGCGCCGAGCACGTGTAACCTTGTGCCTGGTGTCTTGTGTTGCAGCACAACATGCCTTTCTGGCGGATATCCTGCCACGCGGACCTGGAGGCGCTGCGGCACGCCCTGGAGCTGGAGTATTTATAGCAGAGCCGGTGGCACCTCCCCAGGCTCACCGGAGGCGCCCCGCCCACTCAGGCCCCACCCTTTTCCCCGCCTCCCTGCCGAGTGCGCAGACGCGGGACGCCAGGCAAGTGCGCGCGTCCGCTGACCATCTCAGTAGCTGTCTCCGTCCAGACGAGAGTCCTGAGAGGCGAGGCGCCCAGCGTTGGCTTGGAATAGTTGACTTTGGAGAAAAAGGCTGGCTCGGAGTCCAGACTTTTCCACAAGATTCACAGAACAAAAGCAAGGAATTGCTGATTTAGGAGAGGCCAGATGGCAAGGAGGGGGGCAGGTTAAATTTTTTTTCTTTTCTTCTTAATTTATGGACTAAGCTCATTACTCTGGTATTATGCTCTTGTACCTGTGTTGTTGGTTTTCTTAGTCGTTGGTTTGGTTTGGTTTTCAGACTGGCATGTGGGGTGGTTCACGGTTCTCGTTTAAGCGCCCTCTTCAGGTTGTGCTGATCGGACAATCATTCTTTGAGCATTAGTGAGGGACGCGATCTGGGGTTGTCGGGGAGACTGTCGCTTTTTTTATTTTTTCCAGAGACCTTACCTGACGTCATGTGGACAGTGCACGTGCCTTATGCTGCCATCTTGTTTTCTAGGGAGAGGGGTAACACTGGGAAGGAAGCAGTACTTTGTGACGATAAAAGGCATTAAATAAAACCAGGTTTACATTTTGAAGATGGGTAGAGCGTGGCTACTTTATTACTACTATGGAGTTTCCAAATGTGCTGGAACTCTTCCAGGGCTCCTTTCAGTTGCTAAACAATAAAAAATACGGCTCAAAGTGGCTTAGGGCATAAAAGAAAGAAATTGTCGCTGAGAATTTTAGATGAGATCTGCTTCAGGTATAGCTGGATCCAGGTGATAAATTGCCTTTCTCCGTGTTTTCTCAGGCAGGCTCTTCAAGTTGTGACAAAGACTGCCCCCAACCAGCAGAGAGAGAGTACCTCCTTCATAGTTCTGGCAAAAGCCATAGGATTGGGTCTCATTGGCCTATGGGGGACATCAGCTCCCCAGGGAGCTGGGTTTAGTGACCCCCTTTGGGTTTCCAAGGCAGTAAATCTTTATGGAAGTAGATTGCCCAGTCTTCCACAGTGACTGGTGGGTTTGAACCTCCAACTTTCCTATTTAGCAGTCAAATGCTTTAAGCACTATGCCACCAGAGCTCCTTAACTGTTACTGAAAGAAGAGAAAATGGGACTTGGGCTAGAAAATAAAATAGACGTTGATTCCAATGATGGGACATTATTTTCTAGGGGGTGGGAAATGAGTAAAAGATCCAGTGTAGGGGACAGAGAGGGACATCTGGAGAAGTTCTGAGGACAAGTTCATAGAGGACCAAGCAGGGCATGGATCTGTCTGATTTCAATGGTGAACAGAATGTAGTCTCCTCCTTCTGTCCATGTTGGTAAAACCCAGGGTTACCGTCTGGCTGGTGCCTGTGTGGGTGGACATGGACTCTGAGTTATGATCTCTGATGAATAGAAAGCCATCCCCAAGGGGGAGATAGACTCCCCAGAGGTGGATACTGTTGGTCTCATCTCTGTATCCCCAGAGTCAAGCACAGAGCCTGACACAAAGTGGAATCCCATTATAGTGGGATGAAAGGAAGGATGGGTGTAGATAGAACTGGAGTCATACATAGTCAGATGGGCAAATGAACATTTGGACAGATGAATGAATAGATGGGTAGATGACTGGGTAGTGGTGGGTGGAGAGATTACAAGATGGCTGAGCAACTGGAAGATGGATAAATGGCTGGGTGGTTGGAAGATGAACAGAAGACTGGGTAACAATGTTGGTATGATCAAATGGGTGGTTGGCTAGATCATGGATGGACGGATGGGTGGGCCGGTGGGTAGATGGATGAGTGGATGGGTGATAAGGAATAAACAATGGATAGGGATGGAGGGATGGATGGATGGGCAGGTAGATAGGTGAGACTCAGTGGCCCAGGCACCTGCCTTCACTGTGTCCTGCGCAGTTCTTGCAGCCCTCCAGAACACTCTTAGAAGTAGAGTAACTAGACTACCCAGCGCACACAAACCCAAGTCCTCGGCCTCCCAGAAGTCTCAGCATCACGCCAGAAGGTCAAGAGCAGCCCTGCAGAAGATGAGCACCTGCAGCACGCCCCCAGGTCTGCCTCTGGGGCTGAAGGAATTTACTGTGCAAGGGCTATAGAAACCAGAGACCCAGAACTGCCATTAGCTTTTTCAGTTGCAGTGACAAAAAAAAAAAAAAAAAAGGGTTCATTCGTTTACTTAACTGAGCAGTTCAGAAGGGTGCTGCCCTCAAGTAAAGTCAGCTGCCATGAGTCCGCCATGACAGCCGGCGACCCCATGTGAGTCAGAAGAACTGGGCTCCACTGGGCTTTCGGCAGCTGGTTACTCAGAAGGAGAGCACCAGGCCTTTCGTCTGCGGCAGCTCTGGGTAGACGCCTTTCGGTTAGCAGCCTGGTGCACTGACCATCTGGACGACCCAGGGACTGAGGGTGCGTGCAGGTCTGCCATTCGTCATGCACTCTTCCAGAACCGTGGATGCAGAGCTGTAAAAAGGTAGAAACCCCCACCCCATGGAGCTGAGTTTCCTGTGGAGGGAACGCGACAAGGAAATGGGTTAATTCTCTTAGACTCAAACTTCATGGTCTCGCACCAGGGTTGTCCTGAGAAGGTGGGCAGCCAGAAGCAGGAACCTCTGCCCCCGAATCCGTTACTGTCCAGCTTGCTTTCCAAGAACTGCCCAGTGATTGGAGGAGAGTAGGGGACACATGGCCCCCCCACGAGGAAGAGAGCTTAGAGCTGGGAATCCTAAGGCAGCCACTTTCAAAAAGACCTGTGAAGGGGGCGGCCAACCTGCATTCAAGGACAACCACAGTATCTGCCCCGGGAAACAGGGCCCGCAAGGGATCACAGTGCTCGTCCAGGGCATACGAGTGACGCCCTTCTTGCTGGTTGAGATTCTGTTTTATGATACATATATTTTTACATAGAAACAGGAAAAAAAAAAAAAAAGGCAAGAGTTAGAAAAGGATGAGAAACGTAGGAAGGGGGTGTGCAGGTGTAGGATGCTATCCCTCGTTTGCAGGCTCACCGCCGTCCCTGCTTTGAGATTCACACATCACATACTGGTAGAGACATGAACGTGTAGGGTGACAGGGCGCCGGTCAGGGGAAGGCAGAGGCAGCTTGGCTTCAGTGCAGCCTGATTGCAGAGGGGCTGGAGGTTGGAGGGAGACTGGGGTACCGCAAGGTGGAGTAGCTGGAGCCATGTGGGGACCACAGACTGGCTGGACACCTTGGCGACATTTGAGTGCAGGCTTGAGTGAGGAGCAAAGCCGGAAAGCCTTTCAGGGAGACGGAGTGGGAAAAGCTGGAGGTGGGACAGGGCTTGTGAACTAGAGGGAAGGAAAGGAGGCCGGTGTGCCTGGAGCCCAGAGGCCAAGGCCAAGGGTCAAAGGGCAAAGCCTGGGCCAATCCAGACAGACCCTGTTGGTTTTGGATACTGGGTTTTGTAGCGTTTGGATTTTATCCTAAATCCAAGAAGGAAAACATCAGGCAGCTTCAAGGAGTGAGGCATAATCTGCCTTTTTCATTTTCCCAATATTTTATTGTATTTTCGGTGAAAGTATACACAGCAAAGCATGTTCCCATTCATCAAAAACTGAATGTGATGTTCAGAGACCCTGGTTACGTTCTTCAGCTGGGTCCCCGTGCTCATTATTTCTGTCATAGTTGTTTCTTTTTCCCCAAAAATGTCAAAATTATGTATTATTCCACTTTTGTTTTCATTTTTACAACCAGTACTGTAATTACTTGTATTTCTGTTATTTTTTCATGGCAGAAGTACAATTTATCAGTTATGTAAGTTAAATGATACATTGTAGGCTAACCTAAAAACCTGATCGACATTTACAATATTAGTCCTGTGTCAGTCCATCTGAGGGTCTTCCTCTTTTTCTCCGACCCTCTACCAAGCGTGATGCCCGCAAGGACTGGTCCCTCCATTCTCCTTTATGAGGAAATTCTGGCTGTACTTCTTGCAAGACAGATTTGTTCATTCTTCTAGCAATTCGTGGTTTCTTCCATGTTTTCCACCAACATCATAATTCAAAGGCATCAATTCTTTGGTCTTCTGTTCCATTTGTTATCATTGAACCAAGTATTATTAGTTAAAGACTTTAGGGCTGGTTTACATTTTTTAAAATCACCCTGGTTGTTACAGGGAGAATGGTTTGGCGGTGGCTGAGATGAGTAGAGGGTAGAAAAAGGGTGTCAAGTCAAATGTTCAGGGAATGCCTTCATGAACGTCAAGAGATTTGTTGTTATTATTTTATAATCTACATACAGTTTATTACAAACCTCAAGGGTACCCCTTGCTGTGTTTTTATGTATAGTCATACTAATAGCCACCTCCCGGATGAGGAGGGAAAAGGTTTCCAGGCCTCGTAGAAGACTTGTCCTTCCCAGTCCCTCCCCACACTCCATCATGGTTCCGATTGCTAACCCCAAAGATTTTGGCCTAGAGCGTCCCACAAACAGATTCCTACAGAGTGTACTCTCGTGTGCCTGGTTTCTTTCACTCATAATAACTTGGAGAGCCGTCATTCTGGGGGAATCCGAGTTACCAAAAACTGAGCTCCCATTGATGCAAGGCCAGGGCCCGGGAAGCAGTGCTCACAGGTAACCACCAGAGGGCAGTGCAACCCCACCGCTGGCACAAGCCACAGCACCCACAGGTGCCGCTGGAAGTCCGACCTGGAAACGAGCAGCATGAGGGGCTACCATTGAAAGGATTCCGGAAGCATGTTTTTCGAGCCCTGCGCAAGCGTCAGGGATTGCTTCGAGGCAAATGCAGCACCATCGACAGTGTGTTCAGGCCGGAGAGCCTTATTAAAGCTGACTTGCTGCGCTGATTTATGAGAGAAGGAAGCGTAACACTTGGCGGGAGCATCCCCGTCAGCTGGGCCCGCGCTACGGTG